AGAGAGAAAGAGAGAGAGAGAGAGAACAAATTCTGGCCCTACCCATTTCATGAGACTGTTCTAAGGAACAAATGGGAGAATCTCTTTTGTAAAAGCTGTTCGTAAGTTTTAAGTGCTAAAAAAACAAAAAGTATTAGATTGTAGTAGATTTCTAATCTGTTTAGGAAAAATCTCTCCTTAGTAGTGTACACAGAGAGTAGGTGGAGCCCACTTACCTGTATAAGGAAGGGTGTGGGTGGTGTGTATAGCAGTGTCAGGAAAATCCCATCGAAGGGCATAGAATCACAGCTACAGAGTTAGAAGGGACCAACTGTTCCAGCTGTCTCTACAGGACACGTGTTCTAAAGTACTCCTTCGAGGTGGTCTTCTAGTATCTGATTAAAACCTCAAATCATGGGCACATAATGTTTTATGATTCAGTCTTTCCCTATTCATAGAGTTCTATGTGTTTAAAAGCTCTTTAATATAATAAACTGAAATCTGTCTTCCTTGTGGCTTTTACCAGGGGTCTTGGTTCTGCCATCAGGCACCTGACACAATGCAGGACAACTGAAGACAGCCAGAATTCCCCTGAATATCCTCTTCTCCTTCTAAACAGCTCAAGTCCTTCTTTAACCTGTTCATTGTATACAAGCCTTCTCATCTCCAGATGAATTGAACTGTCCTCCACAAGGATGGAACCCAGATTGGAGCACAATGGGGTGTGAGCTGAAGAGCACATTCCAGAGCACGACCAATCTCCTTCGATGTCTGTACACTGTATTTGTATTATTAGCCCCTATGCTCACATTAACATGTTTTTGTGATTTTTTCCCTCAACTAACTTCCCTAATATTCCTCTTAAAATAAACTGAAATCCCCAGGATTTTGTTTGTTTGTTTTTTCAGGTTTTGATGGTTAGCCATTCTTCCCTGATTTTGCACCTATGTAGCAAGTTTTCTGGGCACAGGAGCAGGATTTCATGTAGATTCTCATTAAATTCGGCCTATGCTACTGTTCTACTGAGATTTTTTAATATCTGGAATCTATCACTAAATTTATTTACTGTCTCTGCTGGCTCCACATTGGCTGCAGCCTTTATAAATGGTTCTTTAGTCCTTCTCAAAATTGCTGATGAAATACTTGGGCATAAAAGGGTGAAAAGAAGATCATTAGGAAGCTATAAATTCAAACTGTGACATTTTGACCTTCTGTTAATGTTAAATTTTAATTGAGCATTCTGCTGTTTTTACTGAGGGTTGACCTAAGAAGTAGCCCTATACAAAGGCCTCTGTATTTTCTATAAAATTGCATTAGGTGATTCAGTGTCTCATCTGTAAGAATCCCATGGGAAATTTCTCTGGAGCTCAGGAATACAAAAAAAAAAAAAAAAAAAAAAAAAAAAAAAAAAAAAAAAAAGCTTTCCTCCCAATGATAGCTGAGCTTGTATGAGTTTCCTTCTGTTTTGACTTCCAAGATACTAATAGAGACACGGAAAAACACTTGCTCAATTGCTGTATCTTCTCTTTACTTCTACTTATTGATTTTTCCCCTCTTTCCATCATCCTACTTTACTACCTAACATGCCATGTTAACAGTTCTGTATGCACATATTGTATTTTCACCAAATATTGTGATATATCCTTTCTAAAAGGAGGCAGGGAAGAAAAACAAACGTACATAATCAAGACATCCTTTCAAATGTCTTTTCAGATAAGATCCCCGGAATAATTTCTTCACTTTTTAAGTGGGACTTTAGGAAACTTTTCCCAGAGGTCGTGTACTGAAATAGTTCAGGCTTGCTTCAGCCCTTCAAATCACTTTCTTCTAAAATTTGTTCTCGCTTCATAATGACATGTTCTGAAAAGCTTTCATATTAATTTCCCCATGTGGTACTTTAAAGTGTAAGAAGAAATAATTTGATCATTTGCTAAATCTTTTCTCTTTTTTCACTCTTCCATTACAGAGTTGTTACTTTTTTTTTTTTTAAGTACGTCTATCTGACTGAAATTTCTACTGAAAAGACTTCTGGATTGGGTTTTAGAAGCAAGGCCAGGTTCTTGCCTGGGGCTAACCACTCTGCATGACTATGAGAAATGCATGAAATTTCTCATTTACAGAATAAAAACTACCTCTTGATGAACATCTGAGCAATACTGGGTACTGTTAAAATGTATATAACTTACTTCCAAAGATTCTAAAATAGGTAGTTTATAATATATAGTTTGATTATATGGATGTACAATATTTTTTTAAACCCCAACTTCAGGAGCTTAAACCAGTCCAGGGTCGTCTGCAAAGCACTAAATCAGTTAAGCAATACTCCAGAGTTTGGCTACCACAAAAGCATTTGTTATACCTATTTCAATGAACAAACGAAGCTTTGCTTATTAGCAAAAATAGGTCAGAAATGGATTCTCATTCGTAAAATCAGTGACTCATTAACTAGCATGGCAAATGGAATGTAAATGGTAAAATTAAAAGTGTTATATATATGTGAAATATTAAAGACTTTTGGAGACGTTGCCCACCTTTGCAGGAAAAGAATGCAAAAATCTTAAGAAGGCTCATAGCCCATACCATAAGATTAGTGGCCTAAGTTTGGTCACTAAACCTTCCTATTTCCAACTGCCAGTTTACTAGAATTTCTGGTTGTCTGAGGCTGAATATAAGGGTAACAAAATCCTGGCCCTGGAATGTTGTTTCATCTGCCTCAGTAAACCTTTTTTCCAAGGTAATGACTGGAACATCTGAATGGACAGAGAACTAGAATTTCATCAGCTTATGACAGAGGCTGCATGAATGCCTTTTTGCTACTATGTTTGCTAAAATATGCTTACACGTATAGCAGAATTTGCCTCAAGATTTTCTTTCAACGAGACTAGCATTAACAATATCATAGGGCTACTGCTAACCCTCTTCAACCTTCTTCAGTAACCACACTTACTTATCAAAGGTGTGTGTGACTGGGGCACATGGGTGGCTCAGTTGGTTAAGTGTCCAACTCTTGATTTCATCTCAGATTATGATCTCACAGCTGTGAGATCAAGCCCCTCGTCAGGCTCCATGCTGGTCATGGAGGCTCTTAAGATTCTCTCTCTCTCTCTCTCTCTCTCTCTCTCTCTCTCTCGTTCTCCCTTTTCCTCTGCCCCTCCCTCACCCACATTAGCTCTCTCTCCCCTACCTCTCTCAAAAAAAAAAAAAAAAAAAAGAAAGAAAGAAAGAAAGAAAGAAAGAAAAGAAAAAGTCTGTGGGACTAAATTATCACAGTACCGCTCTTAAAAGATGCCCTGCCTCATTTTAATCTTCATCAGAGCTTTTAGTTACTACTCCCCTTATTCAGACTAGGAAATTCAAGTATAGGGGATATTAATTTATAATCACATGAACACTGACTGATAGAGACTGATGAGTCTGATTCCACTCTCCAATACCCCCTGCAGATAAAGCCACATGTTCATTGCAAGGAATGGATGAGAGATTATGAAATGCTGATAGCTGCGCCTATACACGGGTTAATAAACACAGGCTCTTTAGCTCCTTTAAAGATAGTTAAAAGTCAACCACCTACTACATTGAATTCACTTATATCTATTGCTGCTTCATATAATCACAATTTCTCTGACTGTGTTTTTGGTTCTTTTTTGTACTTTTCATTTTTAAAAAATCTATACTTTTTTTGATGTACCCAATATATTTAGATCAATTGTAATAAATTCATACACCGAGGCACAGATTACTTTGTGAAATAATTGCATGACCTAGCTCCAGAACCGTCTACTGGAAAGTTGGACTCTGAAATTATCAGCTGGAACATGCTTTGAAAAAGTCATAATTACCTAAAGGTCAATAAGAAAGCTCATCTCAAAACATGGTTACATACAAAAAAGTGAATGAAATGGTAGTTTTAGAATTGGAATTCTGAAGTGATATAGAATATTCATGGATTAATGATTTTGATGTATATCAGGGGTCAGCAGAGTTAAATGAGTAGTTTTGGGTTCTACAAAACTGCTAGTCATGCTAAAAATAAAAAAAAATTATAAACAAAATAAAAGATATAAATACACAACAATTTACCCCATAGTTACCAATATCACATTCTAAAAGCTGTTTATTTTGGATATTGTGTTCTGAGCAGAAATCAACAAGGTCACAAATAACCCAGGTCTAGTTTATTTATTAAAATCTTAAGTCCTTAGGGAAAAGATCTTAGATTAATACAAACATAAACATTGATGTGTTCTTATTTAAACTTCTGAAATTTATGGTTTTAGATTATTCTTAGTACGTGTAGAGGTTATGGGGAGAAAATTGTTCTTTTCAGATAAAGTTATTTCTTTAGCAGGTCATAATTACATGTGGAGGTAATGGCATCCAAAGAATATGAGGTTATGAACAAAAAAGTATGTTCCTACTTCTACTTTCAAATGTTACACATTTAATCTACCTTAACTTCATGTCAAAGTCAAAATATATATGATGAATAGATAACATAATCAAACATTTTTGGGGAAGAGGTTATTATGTTTTTATCATACTATAGCTGTACATTAAGGAATTATCTGCGCATTCTTTTTCCATGTGCGTTATTTTTATGTATATTAAAAATATCCTTCCTCTTTAATTAAAAAACACAGGATGAGGAGTTTTGTCGTTATTTTTAAAATGCGTGTAATTGTTTATAGTAATTTGAATAGAAAGAACCTTGGAGTTATTATTATGCTCTTCTAAGCATTAATTCAACTTGAGTATCATATGGGGGAAAACTCTACTAGTTGGGATAATTTCTTGGGATAGTTTTCCAACTAGTTCACACTTATCATACCCGAACAGATGAAAATGAGACATAAAAACTATAAAATTATTGCTTTTGTAGGGTTAATGTCCATCAATGCTGAGGAAGCTGTTTGGACACAAAATGATGATTTGTTCTAGGATTTCAACATTGACTTTAGAAACAGCAGGGGGCAAAAAATGTGCTTAGGGGAGAAAAACCTCCAGTTATTTTATGAACATACCACTCCGTTCACTGATAGCAGCTGGTCTCCCCTTTTGAGGCCTCCGTGTCTTTCGGCCACCCCTCCAGGAATGATGCGGGAGATATAAATGGGGGAATTTTGCTCCTTTCCTCCCATCACGTTAAAACCAAGGCCTTCATCAGTCTTTGGCAGTTCGACTACCCGAGGGTGGGAATGGCCTTCACTAGCTGCAAAAGCTGCAACTGTTGCCTGAAAGAAAAGATGGTCATTTGGTAATACAACGAGGGAAATAAGGCTAATCGTATGCTTTGCAGTGCGTAGGATCAGGCAACTCCTCTTATTTTTATAGCATTCTCCTGTGAAAGAAAGAACAAGATGGGGCTGTGGGGGCGGGGTGGTGGGAAGATTCGCTTCATTTAAACGTCATCTATGACTCCTTTGTTTGGTAAAGCCCTGCCTAGCTATTCCCGGCTTTCTAGAGCTTATCCATTATGATACAAATTTCCCTTCTTCATAAAAATCTTCCCCAGTTACCTTAGTTAGATGCAATTCTTCCTTTTCTTGGACTCCAAAATAGGTTGCGTCCTCATATTACCTTTATACGGTACACATGCCATAACTGTTATGTATACGTGTTGACTATGAGCACCTGAAGGGCAGAGATGATGTAATCCACTTCTCTGTAGGACACCCAGTCTACCCCGGTGCATGTACATGAACGTTTATTCAATGTGCTTAGAAGCACTTATACGTGTATACTCTGGGGAATACATATATAATCTTGCTATTGCCAGAACACTGGCTTGGCACATTTTGTTTTTGCTTTTGTTTTTTGTTTTTTGATTGAGGATACCTAAAAGCAAATGAAAGCTAAAATAGGAAATAGATTCAAACGGATTATTATTATTTCACATCAGTACTCTGTGTTGTTATGAGAGGTCCTCTTGTCTGGTACAGATGTTTCCCCCTACATTTTACATTAATATTTCAACTCCTACGGCAACGTGGGCAAAATGAGCAGCTCATGGTTCTAAACCTAGATGTACAAAATATCATTTAATGTGGACGTCATTTTATTTTAAAATTCATACATGAATTTTTAAAAATAAGCTGGAAACACAACTTACCATTAGTTCCCACCCCTCATGGAAATAAAATAACAGCATTTAAGTAGTTTCTATCAAGAAAAGATCCTCTGCCTGCTTCTTATTTTCCATTTCCATTAACCTGACTTAACCACAGTTGATTAGATGCCTACTATAAAGTGATTTACTCAACACTTTGAAAATATTGATTGCCAACGACTGTACATTCTTTTCCACACACAGCATTATCACATCAATTGAGCATTATGCTACTGTCTGCATTTAGTGAAGTTTAGTGAATGATATGGAAATAATGGCTTGTTTTTAGCTACATGCATTTGCTCATGCAAACCTCGTCGTCATGCATAGATTTTAATGGCTGACATGGATGCAATGCAGACAGCCCAGAAACAACCAGAAAATATTGTGCTATTGCAACATTATGCTGCTATCCTGCTGTTCTACATGAATAAGAAATGAGAATGGTAAAACACTACATAATTCACTTTCCCCTTAATTAAACCATGTAGGGATCATTTTTCTGTGTGTGTTCCACTTCAGTACAAGCAAAGCATGATGTAACGATAATAATACCCTCCTTTTGCCTGGGTTAAAAAAACCTTACAAATCTACAGTGTTCAGTTACAGAATGAAAACTAAGAAATCAGGAGAGAAACCAAACAAGAGGTGATGTAACACAAAAGAATTAAATGGAAAATTCTGATTATTTTCACCAGTTCTTATTTCTTACACATTATTAGAAGGATAAGAGCTTTTAAAAAGCAAGCTGTTGTGCATCGATTACAGCACTTCTGTTTGTAAAATAAGAACTACATCAGTAATTTTAGTTTAAAACTACTGTTTCCTAATGGTCTATTTTCCAGATAATTTCACTATCCTATTGCTATAAGCTTACCATTCGTGTAAGATTTCCATTAGATTTCTCTGCAATGTCTGGATTTCAGTTTTTAAAGAGCACACGTGGTCACTCTCACAAAAGGTGACAGGCTTTCCCTTTAGGTCAGTGTCACATTCTTTCAGCAAGCTACCCACTGCTCAGCTGTATACTTGGAAGGATCCTATGTCAGTGGGTCTCAGGTGAGTTCTCCTCATGTCTAACTCAAGTCAAAGCTTTCGACTTGTGCAAGTAAATCTTCATGCACTGAAAGGCAAACAGGTTCTTTTGGATCAAAGGAACGTGTCAGAAAACCATGTATTATTTCATACAATGAACCAGTAGATTTGCTTGTGCCAAATGGACAGTTAGTGAGTTTAATGAAATCATTCTCCTTTCTTAAGCTACAGAAGCAGCAGAAACGTTCAATTTTCCATTAGGATTTTTACCTGGGAAGCAGTACTGGTTCTAGACTCTGGGCTGCCACTGATGTCTAAATTCTCTTACAGTGTACACACGAGAATACCTGAAACACACACGCGCACAATCAATTACTAGATCACTGGGGTCAAATGTATTTTTAAAGTTACTCAAGTCTTACCTTTGCTGTGGCCCTGGCACGGAATTCAGGACAGCCATTAACAGTTATCGTTTCATGCATATATTGATACACCTAAAATGTTCACATAAAAAAAAAAGAATGTGTAAGAACATTAAGAGCATCAATTCTTTCACTGCAGATAGGATGACAAATTTTCCTTTGTAAAACAGAAATTCTCTGTTACAAACTGATATAAGTCTGAATCAATTATGCTGATGATTTGGACCCCCAAAAAATCTCTCCTATTTGGTGGGTGAGGGCTGCAGCAGAGAAGGCAAGCACTTATTATTTGGTTATCTGTGTTCATCAGGTATACAAACTCGGATACTTGATTTTATAAAAGCTACTTTGTCCGTAAAAATTTTTACCCCTACATATAGTGCCTTCTCTCAAATATCTGATAAAAATTTTATATATAAAGCTGTGTAACAATATCTTTTCCTTGCCTATCGGAATGTATGTTACCTTTTGTGACACATATTCATAATTCATAAATATAGAAATACAATGATATCCAGGAGCAGGAACAAGTGAAATAAGAGATTTTAGCACTAGTAACACAGAGCAACCTATCAGCTCTGGTTCATGTTAACGTTTAAATGAAATAAAAAAAAATACAGGTAAAATCTGGACCCAAAATGATATTGTAGAAAGCACATAGGTTTTGTTGACTAACGGACCTAAGTTTCAGCCTTGCAGTATAATTGAGGGACTGTGAGGTCCTGGCAGAACCACTTCACCATGTTGATTCTCTTTTTGCCCATCTGAAAAATGGGTAAAGAATATTTATTTCGTATGGGTTTCATTTGAAATAATACTTTCGAGGCACCTGGCACCTAATAAGCACTCCTTAAACAGCAGGTATTATTATTATTTATGATTTTAGGCACAACTACAAAAATTGTGAGTAGAAAAAAAACGTTTTCCTTCTAAATTGTCAGGGATGGGATTACAAAATCTGTATATCGGTGGCAAAATAAATTGCTTCATTATAAATAACTTACATATACAGAATGACTCATAAAGGACAGTTTGAGAAGATAGAAAAAAATAACAAGGTCAAGTATGTTAGACTATATGCCCATTTTAAAGATTTAAATAATAGTCATAAAAATCAACTGCATAATGTGCAGAGGTAAAAGTCCATTTGGGATTTCGCTGGGATATTTTTTGCGATTGGCCCATTAACTATTTTGTAAAAGATGAAATAGAAAGTTGCAATCAAAGATTTTTTTTCCTTTCTATTAATCATATTTTCCACACTTAAGTCCAAAGTTATTAAAGTGAATTCAGAATGTGATTAATACATCCATTCCACAACCATTCTTTGAGTATCTCTGACCAATCTCTTTCCAACATTTCTTGGCTGGCTCATCATTTTTCAAATACATTTGGTTGAATCTCCATCAATGCTGACTCATCTTTCCCAAGTAGCATGTCTGGGAAAAAGACAAAGTGGTCTAGACTAAAAAGGTAGGGGCACTATTTAGAATCTATCAGGTAGGCTGAAACTTCACTAAATAACTGGAGTATATACAATTTTAGTGAGAAATCGGAATGAAAAAGGAAGAGTTTTCCAGGAAAGCATTTGTGGAGCCTGGGACTTGTTAATGCAAATTTTCTAGGTTACCAGAATAGCTGCTTAACATGTTTCCATGTTATTTCCTTGAAAGTACATCACTTTATTTTGCAGAAATATCCCTTCTACAAATAAATTCCACTTACTTGATCTTACAGCCCATTTGGGAGGAAGATTTTCCTTACTCTGCTTTTCTTGTTAAGAAACTCTTTCAAATCTGGCCCTTCATTCTGTCTTTACTCATTATATCTTGCTCAAAGCTCTGCATTAGTGTCTTAATTGGGTTTTCCACCACCAAACACTATTGACTTTAGTTATCATTGTCAAGTACCTACCTGATCGTGTCACTACCGAGCTTTTGGCTGTCTACTGCCCTTGGAGTAAAGGTTGCAAAGTCCAATGCCCACACGAGTCAAACCAGCAATAATAATGCAGAACGTAGCCTTTTCTCTAGTTTTATTCCCCAACTTCCTTTCCTCCATCCTCACTATTCCCCAAATATACAATGCCTTCCCAATTGCCTAGGCCTTTGGATATGCTGTTTGCTCTGTTTGGAATGCCCTTTCATTTGGCAGAATCTTCTTTAACCCAGTTTAACATGATGATAAAAGACCCAATTCAAATTTCATTTTCTCTGTTCATTGTTCCCTGCCTCCTCCAAGCAGAGAAATTTCTCCCTCCTTGATTTTGGACCATTTGAATTTTTCTAGGGACATCTTGATTATCTTTTCCAGGGAAAATGATATATTTACGTGCATCAAAGTATGTTTATGTAGACAATCATTTGCACACAGTTAGGAGATTGTCATCAGCTGATAACAGCAAAAACTAATTTTGTAAGCTCCTAAAATAAAGAAATAAAAATTTAAGAATAACTATCCTTAACATTCTAATTTGAACTGTGAATTAAAAAGTGGAGTATGCAAGAGGCAGTACGATGTACAGATAATGCTCAAGTTCTGCAGTTGCCACATATTAAGTGTATGATCTCGGTCAGTTACTTGACCAAGTGCAATGTTCTAATTTGAAAAATATGCCTTAGAGTTGTAACTAACTTCTAGGTCTGTTAGGAGGATTAAATAAGATTAGAAAAGTTTGCAGCATATAGTAAGTTTATAAAAAATAGCTATTATTATTACTATTATTATTATTAATATTCAATGTTTCCCAACTTATTTGACACTGGGATCTTTGGGGAAGAATCTCCTAGGACTAGCAGTCCATGAATACATTTTACAGAGAATTGATGGAAGACTGTAGTTCTTGCCTGGGGCGTTTCTGCACCAATTTATTTGGCAATGTTTGGGACGTTTTGGGTTGTCACAAATGAAAAGCAGGAGAATGCTACTGGTATGTAGTATTAGAAGACCAAGAGGCTGCTAAATATCCTACAATGTTCAGAGTAGCCACCTGTAACAAAGAACTATGTCAACATGCCAATAGTCTTGAGATCGAGAAACCCTGAACTAAGAAATCATGCTGCATCATTTCTTCTTATACATAATAATTAGTAGGCCATAAAAAGACCCTTGCATAGCAGTGAGTAAAGGATCTTGTAAATAAATTAAAGGGTCTTATTCAACAAATACGTCTTGAAGTAAGTAACCACAAGTCTGGTGTGCATTTAATGAGGACTTACTGTAGGCCAAGCATAATGCTAAGCATTTTATATCTAAGAGTTCAGTCAATGCTCACAACTTATGATTGAGGCCCTCTACACACAAGGAAGCAATCACAGAGATGGTAACATGCCTATGACAACACAGGTAGTGGCAGATCTGGTACAGAGATTCATATCTAATTGCCTCCAAAGTCTTTCCTCTTTCAACCACATCAGGCTTTCTTATTAAGACAGCATCGGACTACTACCATTTTGGTTGCACTGAGGAAACAAAAACTTGGAGATGTCACAAGTATTTATTTATATTTTGAATAAAGGTATCTAGGTTCAACATGACGCTTATCAGTATACATGTGGTGGCTGCAAATGTACAATACAATTCAGAAACCAACAAATTCATCACTCCCAATGAAAGTGAAATAGCATTTTTAATAATCTTTTATGATTATAATATACTATGATTCAAAGAAAGAAGTCAAATATTATTTTTAGTGTTTTCTTTTGTAAAGCACAACAGATTCTGCTTAGTCGGTTTTTAAACACTGGCTGACATGGTCTAGTTAGAGAGTCAAGTCAGAACTTGGAGACATTAATTCTATTTCCATTGGTTATATTGTCTTGTTAAAGTTTCTTAGCTCCTCATTTTCTAGGGACAAAATGTATCCCTACCTATCTTACTTTTCAAGGACAAGTGTACAGGTATTTGTAAAATTTTGAAGGAAATTGTTATAGAAAGCTAAAGTATTTTACCAGATGCCCTCAGAGAATTCTTAAAAGGAAGAGAAAATGGTTGTGTGAGCTTCAACAGAGGACAGTGGGGCTTATAGTTTCCAGAATCACTTGGGTCTCCAAATTTCTGGGCAATGTCAGCTATAGCAGCATTTTAAGCACATTCCATTGGTAAGATAGGTTAATTCCTAGTGAAAGTTGAATAATTTACAGAAACTCTTGTACACAGTTTGAGCTTACATTTTAGTATCAGTAATTTACTGACTTTGAATAAATCTCACAGATTCAATAGCATTTTGAATATTTGGAACTTATTCCAAGCTATCGAAAATTTACAAATATAGATCGATTCAATTAAGGCAATGGGGTTGCAGTCACTTGATTCAGAAAGTTCGTTTGTTCATTCGTTCTGCTAACATTCGTTTAGGAGTTACTCTAGTCAGTGTGTCAAGCACCTGGACCAAAATATGAAAGAAAAAAATTAAAGGCATCTTCTAAAACTTTGAATTAACATAAATCTTCACTATAGAAGGGCTTTAAATTTTTTTTTAAGTTTATTTATTTTTTTGAGAGAGACAGAGACAGTGCAAGTGGGCGAGGGGCAGAGAGAGAGAGAGAGAGAGAGAGAGAGAGAAAGAATCCCATGCAGTCTCCACACTGCCAGCACAGAGCCTGAAGCAGGGCTCGAACCCTACAAACTGCGAGATCATGACCTGAGCCGAAGCCAAACGCTGAATGCTCAACCGACTAAGCCACCCAAGCACTCCAAAAATTTTTAAATAAATAATATAAATTTTACTTTTCTTTATATTAAGAAAGCAAATAGACTACTTTTTCTAGATGGAAATTTTATCACTGAGAGAATAACAAATACAAATAAAGTAAAAGTTACACTTTTACTTCAACTTATTTACCAACTGTACAACAGAATTCCCATTTAGATAAATTAAGCTGAACAGCTAAAATTCTAATGCAATAAGATTTTTGCTTCTGAGCTTTCATTTACACACAGGTTATGTAGATAATATCAAAATATAAACTTTACATTGAATTATTCGTTTTGATTCTGTACCCTGATTGGTACAGAGAGGTAGGTATGGGATGATAAATCTGTATTATGAGTTTCTCATCCTGGTTCCCTTT